TAGGATCGTATGACCTTAGCTTTTTTCTTTTTGTTCTATGTATTATATTAGTGAGACATTTTTGCTGAAAAAAACGGAATGAACAGATTAAACCTGAATTTTTCTCATCAAACTCGATCTCGATAAACGCAAAGTAATTGTAATGCAGGTAGATTGTGTCCTGATCACAATTTTATCTTTTTCACTAAATTCAATTTTCAATGTCAACAAGTACTTGAAGTCTATGGATGATATTAAATCCACTTTATTGTTGTATCTGATATTCATATCACAGGTTTAGGTACAATACAGAAAGGATTACTATTATTCACCGGTTACATGAATTTCAGCCCACGAAATTATTGATCAGAACTTTCGGCCCGCAACCTCACTGACCTCTAAAATAAAAAACTTAATTTTTTTTTATTAGTTGCTGAACGTTGTAGTACTGAGCACGACATCATAGTGCACAGCGACATGGCATAGTGTTGAGTAGGACATCATAAAAGTTTTGGGTGTCAATTAAGAGAAGACTGAAACTCAGAAACTCGCATAAACTACATCCACATCACATCCGCAATGCTATATCGCTGAGAATTTTGGCGTCCTGGTTAGTGCTATGTAGAGTACTGCAATCCGACCCGATTCGACCCGCACCCGAGCCCGACCCGCGGGTGCGGGCGGGTTCGGGTTCAATCTTGTCGGGTGCGGGCGGGCTCGGGTTCAATCTTATCGGGTCGGGTCGGGTACGGGTCTGTCAGCCGTCGGGTCGGGTCGGGTGTGGGTTTGAAATTAAAAAATGTCGGGTTTTTATCGGGTCAGATTTTTTTGCGTATGTATGCTTTTGCCCTCTATTTTCGTTCGTCTTAAACTCATAGAATAATAAAACTCAATTCTATTGATCAATGATTCTCAGAGTCTAATGAAATCAGAACGTAATGCTGTTATTAAAAATATACGAATACTTTTAAAAGCTCTAGGTATAGATCAACAAGTCGATGAAGAAACAACAGAGACAGGTACCAACAACAATTCCTCAACACATCAAAAACGTATTAAAATAGACACTGTACACGATGTTCTCAAGTCTTTTAATGCATTTGTAGACTCATCATCAGACGATGATGATAAGAGGCCGATGGATAAAGTAGATGATTATATTAAAGCGAAAATATCATACCCAAAAGGAGAATCACTTTTACAACGGTGGCAAAAACACTCTATCATATACAAAAAGTGAGTTTCTTGATTACTATATCATTCTCCTTAAATGCACAAGAAAAATTCAATAAATTAATTTAAATTTGATTCTCCTTAGGTTATCATTATTAGCATGTTCTCTCTTAGCAGTACCTGCAGGTTCTGCTGTATCTGAAAGAATATTCAGTAAAACAGGTCGGATTCTTGAAGTTCGACGTCAACAAATATCACCAGAATCACTTGACTCTCTTATTTTTTTACGAAATTTTTCAGTTGTTTTGTATAAATTGAAGATGTATTATTGATATTTGTACGATACTTATTGTTATGATCATTATCGATCTTAACTGTTTGAAATGTATGTATTTGAATGGAAATGTGATCATACTAAGTTGTGATGGTTTTTTTTGCAATCATGATTATCTATGTGTTTTTTATTGCTATAAAGCTTCTATCATTTTTTATGCTTAATATTGCAATAAACTGATGTATCTTTATAAAATAAACGAATTTAAATCTCTCGGGTCGGGTCGGGCTCGGGTTCAACTATCCTCGGGTCGGGTCGGGCTCGGGTCCAACTATCCTCGGGTCGGGTCGGGCTCGGGTTGAACCTTGTCGGGGCGGGTCGGGCTCGGGTTGAGCCTTGTCGGGTCGGGTCGGGCACGGGTACGACTAAAAGACCTCGGGTCGGGTGCGGGTTCGAAAAATCAAACCCGCGCAGGACTCTAGTGCTATGTCACAACGCTCAACAATACGACGTTCTGTTCAGTACTATTACGTGCTGTTCAGCACTACTTCATATCGCTGAGCTGAATTTAAAAAAGTTTTTTCTAAGGATCAATGGGGTGACTGGTCGAAAATTCGGACCGAAAATTCCGTTAGCCGAAATTTCTGTCTCCCTTTTTTGTTGCTACCATCTACTGATAGAATTTTGTTCGAATTTCATTGCGAAGAATACATACCGAACCTTGCAATAAGTTTTGATAGTATGATTTTCGTATAACAAAAAAAAGTGCTATGCTAGATATTGAATTCTATTCTACCAATATCTCACTTCTATATTAATCAGCGTAACATATTCAAAATAATACTATACAACGATTGCAAAAAAATTACACAAATATTTTGATGAATTTATCTTCTTGAACTGTTCCATCACGAACTCGGAACGTTTTTATCTAGAAAAATTATTGTAAAGTCCTATGGAATCTTTATAAATTCACTCATTTCTACAACGTCAAATATACATACACTTAAAGAAAAGCAATGTATTAAAATATGGATATAAGTAATGCCTTGTCATTATCTTGCAAATGATGAAAATGATATTAAGTATGGACATGGATGTGACTGTGAGTTTAAGTGAAAGAAATACGCACAATTGCATCCACATCTCACATTCTGATGGATCATCCATATAGAATTCGTTCTTTTAACATTCATTATTCGCTGTTTATTTTTCGTCAAGGTACCTTCAAAAAACGTCTTCCATCAATAAAGTTTCTATGTTAGACTCCAGTGAAAATGTTTTTTGAAAACCAAAGAAAAAACGCACTGGATTTGAAAAAATTAATTCATTTTAAAACTAATTATATTTTTAAACTTATTTCTATTGATAGTAAAATTATTTATTGCATAAGAACCTATCAAAACAAAATGTAGCTTGCTTGTTTGTGAATGGAGTAATATTTTGCAATGGACAATGATTTGTAAATGTGATTCTAATCCAAATTTTTATCCCAAAAACAACAAACAATCATTGACTTGACATTCATATTTGGTGTCATAGTATATGAAAGTACATGAACTCATATCTATCTAAAAAAGAATTCAAGACTAAGTCATTTGATCAAGTTCGGATTTACCCGATGGAAAGCTTACACTGATGTTTTATAACATCAATATGCGATGAAGACTATAACTCATTAGTTGAGTAGCACATATTTGGTCTTTTAAAGATAGTTTCATTTAATAGAATTGTATATCGAAAAACAATCATATGAATAAAATTAGTTTCAAAATAGAATATCTTACTATACTTCATATATAGATTTTGAAGTTGTAACCAGTTTCCATGAAACTTCACTAACTTTATATACAACTCTGGACCAAAGTCTTTCTTACTTTCTTCTCGTTCTCTTCGTTAGAATCTCATTGGTCTCAAGTAAATGCTAGTGACAAGAATGGGTTAAGTACTTCATTATGATGCAGTGTATGATTGATAACGATATGCATGAATGAAGAATATACGTCTTTAAATACAATGGAGCAACGTTACAAATTAGCTGATTGACAGAATGTTTCACGAAAGGGTTATCTCTTTTTCTCTATTTGCTAACTGTTTGACTGGTTTGGATCATGAACCTGTCTTCGTTACCGATTCAAAGCTCTTTCGTGAATGTGGTTTACTCGATTATATAAATACAGCTCCAATAAAACTGTTACAACATTCAGAAAACAAGAAGAAAGAGAGATAACAGGTTACCAGAAGTTTGCCAACAGGAATTTTGCCATTGGCGAACTTCCAATGAACTTTCTCGAATTTTAGTAGGACGGTGGTATTGATTAGAGAGATTGATATCAACTATATTCTTAACTGTATGACTTGAGGTACATTTTTATAATGCTAGGCATAGTTCTTGTGCATCACTTACGATATGAATATTCCACTACCATTAATGAAAATCTATTCGACTTTCGCCAATTCGTCCCCCTGAATATTCACCAATTGGCGAAAGTTCAGTGGACTATCGCCAATATACCCCTTGGAAATTCGCCAGTTGGCGAAAGTCCACTGAACTTTCGCCAATATACCTCTAGATTTTCGCCAATAATTGGCGAAAGTCTTATTGGTGAAGTTCCGGAATCCCGAGATAACGCAGCTGTAAAGTATTCTATCAGTCAACTCATTTACATCATTGGTCGATTGTATTGAAAGATGTACATTTTTTATTGAAGTAGGTCGTAATCAATCACGCATCACACTAAAATGCAGTACTTAAGCCATTTGTGCAACCAATATTGACTGAAGATCAAAGAAGTTCGATACGAAAAGAATGATGAGAGAGCAAGACTTTTAGCTATGAATGTAACTAGTAACTCGGTCTTTCTGATTGTAAGTTGTTCGATTGAAACATCTACTTTTCTCCAAATCTCATAGTTTTGATAGAATGTCATTGAAATTAAATAAATCATGGTTTTTAATCAAAATTCAAACCAGAGAAGAATAAATACGATCCGTAATATTAGACAACTCATGTTGCTTCATATATTGTCTTTCATCTTTAATTTGTACAAGTCCTGATATTTTCTATTCACATTCAATAACACAATTATTTCAAACTATATTTAAATCACTCCTGCTATTGATAACAACTGTAGTTATTCTAGGAAAGAAAAAGAAACTTTCAGTTTTGTAATCAAAACAATCTATAAATTTCTTAAGGATACTCAATCAAAAGATACATTGTATAATTTGATATTTTTGATAATACCTCGGGTACTATTGCTATACTTTTTTTGATTAAATTATTTGTATTCAAAACAGATTTAACCGATCAGGAATCAAAATATATAATGTTGGATAAACGAATTGAGCATTGTATATTGCATTAAAATAAGAAACAACACTTAACGTGTATATCATTGACTCCAAACTATTGAGAAGACGGTTTTGATTTGAAAGATCAGTTATTTTAAAAAAACCAAAAGTAACGCTGAAAGCAATGAATTCACAAAAACAAAAAAAAATAAGAAAATATCACAATAAACTTTACGCCACAACTTCTACACAATTTTAAAAAAAATGTGATTCAACGAGTTTAAGAGAAATTCAAAATAGAATTATTTAATAATTTATTAATATATCGTTGCTGTTCAAGTTGATTTTCAAATTCATCAACAATTTTTTTCTTTTTCTCTATAGTTTCTTCAAGTTTATTTTTTAATTGTTGATTAATCTGACGAGCATTCATTAAATCTTGCTTGAGATCACGCTGTATTCGTTCAAGACGAATACATGATTTAATTGTATCTGAAAGACGATTTTCTACTGCAGCAATTTCTTCTTTTATCTGTTTGTTCAACTTCATAAGTTCAGATTCGTATTTATATTTTGATCGATCAATTGATGCTTGTAGATTGCGTATTTGTTCTTTTAACCGATCATCCATCGAATTATTTAGTGCACGTGCATATGGATTATAACATTTTCGAATAGATAAATAATGTTGATTAACAAAATGTGGTTCATCAAGAAAAATACGATCCACTGAATCATAATCTTCAAAATTTAATAGAAACGTACGACCATTATCAAGAATTTTCCATTGAAAAATTGAACCATATTTACCAAAATAAGCCAAAACATTTTTGTTATTAAAAGACAAATCTTAATAGAATATTTTGTACAAATCTGTATCGTTCTTACTTATTTTAATAGATACAAACCGAATTTATCAAGATGTATTAAAATATACTTAGTAACAGGTCTTTGATCTTTTGAAACCTCTCTTAGATTTCTTTTGACAATAAATCGATGTTCTCGATTGATTTGAGGACGTTTAGCTAAGCATTGATCAACACTTGAAATTGAAGCAAACGTTAAAATTGCAAAACAATAATCTGCAAATGCAAATATTTTAATTGTTTAAAAAAACCGAAGAGAAAACAAACCATTGAGCACTGCATTCGCACATGAATAAAAATGACATTCTGTAATACAACTTCCTTTGATCAATCGATGAAAATATTCACATAACGATTTAGAAGTCCATGAATCTTTATGAAACACACCAACATACAGTTCATGTCGTTGACGATCTTTTGAATCACTTGATAAAGACATCAACCTTAAGTAATTCAAATTCAAAAAAATAATTTTCGAATACAAAAAAACACCACTTTTTTGTGCTTTATTGTTATGTATAGACAAACAAGCATGTAACAGAGATTTTATACAAAAAAGTTATATAAAAGAAACAATTTTCTATCGTTAAGAATCTTCGTGTAAATACATAATAGCATCTTGTAATGATTGATTTTTTCTTTTTTGTTCTTCAATTTGATTTTCATATTCATTTTTATTCTTTTCATTCTTTCTTTCAAGTTCTTGAATTTGTCGTTTTAATTGTTCATTTAAACTAAATAATTGTAGAAAATTTTGTTTAAGATCATTATATTTATTTTCAAATTCATGTAGAGTTTCCTTTGTTTTATTTAAATTTTGATTACTTATTGAAATTTGTTTATTCATATTAAATTTAAATAGGGCAATTTGTGTTTTATATAAAATTTTTAATGGACGCATAAAATCGGTAAGATTTCGAAATATTGGATACCATCGTTTAATTTGAGAAGCATTTTTTGGATCAACAAAACGAAATTGTGATAAATTACAAATATATTCTGGTGCAGTATATTTATGAATAGAAAGTAATTGTCCATTTAAATAATGTGGAAAATCAAGAAGAACACGATCAGAAGAATCAAAATCTTCAAATGTTATGAAACATATACCGGCACAATCATCTTCTTCGAGCATTTTCAATTCTGTAATCTTTCCATATACACCAAAATACGAGCGAATATTTGTTTCGGTGAATAATGGATCTATATAATGAAAAAATTAATTGTTTCAAATATTTATAATTGTAATCAAGGAACATCAATGAAAAGTATATATTAGCCTTTTGGCTAACTTGCATTATGAGGTGCTGCTTCGTAGTAGACTGATTAGTCTGATATCTTTCCTACAGATAATACTATCTGTAATTCTTAAAATAATGTTGACCTGATACAGAGTTCTTGTGCTTAGTTGCTGAAGCTCTCTGTTCACACTGACTAATCATATATTAGACTAGCGGATGGATGACTCAGATTCTTACAAGCAAAAAAATGTGGAATTGAAAACATTGTCATGAAAGACAATGCACTTCTTTATTTAAGTTTGAACAAACATTTAAAACCACTGATTCAAAAGCATATATATCTATATAATGATTTGCTAAGCAACAAAATAAGACACATCTAGCTCTCTTTGACGTAAGATATATTTAATTAAATGGTCTACGTGAGTAATGTACTATTACTTTTTAATAACTGAGTGAACCGTTCCAAATTTGATTCAGAATCGGATCTGGCATCGATGATTCTAATACCAAAAGAAGTCGACATTGCTCATCCTTATCCGAGACACAAGGGTAGGTGTATGACACAATTTAGTCAGCATGCTATCGAACAGGTGATTCGAGACAAACAGTCGTTAGTTACTTGTCCTGGATCATTCCATAATTGGTAGCACCGCGGTTTGAACACAGTACCTACGGAATACATGTTCTAAGCCGTAGCCACTCAGTTATGACGACCTTTATTCATAATTGAATTACGCATTTACCTTGTAAAGTTATTCGAATAACGATATCTGTTGATGACATAAGTCTTTCACATTTCGTTATAGAATCTGGTAATAAACGTTTTATTGTAATTCCATAATCATTATTAAATTGTGTTCTTTTAGTCATACAACGATCAACACAAGCTTCATCAGTAAATGTGATAAATGCAAAAGATTTTCCTATTAAAAATAATGAAGAAACTTTAAAGCTTTTAAAATAATTAATTAACCTTGAAATCTTGCTTCACTATATGACATTATTTGACAATCAGTGATATACTGTTCATCGTTCGCACTAGCATGTTTATTGAAATATGCACATAATTTTTCATTAGTCCATGTTTCATTATCAAGAACACCAACGAACAGTTGTCGACGTTTTATTGACATTAATCTACAATCAACAATATTTACAAATAATTCAATTCTTATTTTATTCTAATATATACATTTACTAAAATATCAAACAGCATAACGACACAAAATGTGCTACATTTATTATATTCATAAGAAACAAGCAAAACGAATCTGTTACTTGTTCTTTAAACATTTTCTTACGAGGTAAATCTTCCAACTGTTCAATTGTATTTTAGTCGATACAATGTGCATTATATAGATTCAAAGAAGCTATGAATATCCAGAAATAAGTTCGTATTCTAAGGTTATTGCTACGGAAATACTACAGTTTTATCTTATTTTGAAAATCAACACTATGGCCCCTTGAGGAACATTAGAAGAGTTGATTTTCGAATTTCACCTTGAAATTTGACATGAAGACAAGCGTTAATGAGAATAATTTTCTTGTGAATGTTTCAGATCGTGTCCCTATTTCTATTCTCAGATAGAACTGTGGTTATAATGTGTCTTTTACATTGTTCATGTGAACCGGTAGATTTAATGATCTTATTTCAGGATAGCAACAAACTAAAAGATCTGAAACTTTCATAAGAAACTGTTCTCGTTAAGACCTGTCACTACGCAACATTTCAAGGCAAAATTCGAAAATCAGTCTTTCTGGTGTTCCTGAGGTGAATCACAGCATTACGTTAAAACAATACCGTAAAAATCAGTATCTCCGTAGCAATAGACTAAGGGTACGAACTCTTACTACGATCTTCATAGGTCATTGAGTTCTACATAATGTACATAGTCTCAGCTCAAAAGAGATTGAAAAGTCGAAGGGATTTTCTCATTAGACATGCATTAATTTAAATATTCGATTTTAGATTTCATACAGTATTCAGACTCATTTAGTTTGACGTAAAAATTACAACTTTCTATAGATAACCTTACATTTTTTTTCAGATGAGTATGTCTTATTCTCCAAAATGTTTTCGAGTAATTAAGTAAAAAGCAAAGATTTATTTGTAAATAATTTATTTTTTCTGTATTTATATACGACAAAAACAATAAAAATAAAAATCTGTGTACTGTTTAAATTCATTGGTAATACGAATAAGAAAATCAAAAATAATCTGTCATACATACAAAACAACAAAGACAACAATTATAAACATATATTCTTTATAAGATAGATAATAATTTAATTTTGAAAGACAGTGAACGAATTAAACTAACTAACAACTAATGATTGATTGATAATTTTTTCCAGCTTTATGTAAAAAGAAAAATCATATGTTCATTAAAATTTCTGTGCATTTATCTAGTTACCATTATTTACATTCCTAAATTTGTTTGTTGTTATCATTCACTAGTTAAATACAAATTCGTTATTGAATCAGGGTTATTCAAAAACAAATATTTACCCTTTTTAAAAGGTTTTAAGGACATTTTTCCAGAAGAAAAATCGACGACTAGTAAAAGAAAGGGTTGAAAATATCAATATTAAACAAAATATTACTAATTTTATATTTGCGACAAGAACATCGACTTGAACTTACTACTTAGTTTGGTAACGATATTTTGTTGCATTTGATCTGTATCAACAACCGATGCTCTTAGACCAATTGATTCTGAACACAAAAGAATGTATGAATAACTTAGAGCATATCAGAAGCAATGACGGAAATACTCAAATTCATTATAGAAAACCTTAAAGAAACTGTCTCTCTATATGTTTCTGATCGTAACAGCAATGACCTATATTTTTTTAATATTTGATCATTTTTTTTTCCTATCTTCTCTAATATCTAGCCTTCTACACATATCAGAGCGCAGAAAAAGTGGTGCGCTAGAACAATTCGACTTAAGGTACCCCTCCAACCGTCACAAGTATCAATTTTCATCAAAGATGCAGAGAGTTGAACTTTGTATGTGCTCAAAGTAGCAAACATTTTCTATTTTTGGAATCACTATTATTTTTAGCTTTTACGATGGTTTTCAGAGGTTTTCTTATGTTTTTTTCCGATGTCCAAGAGGTTTTGTGAAAATCCCACAAGCAGAAAATGTTTGTTAAATTTTAGTTTTCAAAGCCTTCTGACTTTGTTTATAGGCTTTCGACTCGACAAATATATCCCGCATGCTCTAGCAAGTGGGCTTCATGCATCCTCTCAGTATAATCTCTCGTGAATCGCTCTATGAGAGAAAAATCAGGATTTTCAAAGTTCAACTTTGTTTGCCGTTTCCCTCAAAACGAGTTTGTTTTTGTTCGTGTGTCTCTTTTCACAGGAGTACCTCTATTTCTTAGAACTTTTCAAAAAAAATTGACACGAAAAATAAACCAAGAATTTAGAAAATTGGACTCTGTTGAGCTGTAGGGGCAAGTGTTGACTACATCTTGACATAACCTCGACATCTGTATCATTTAAGTATGTGGAGAAATCTGCAACGCATGTATACTTACTTGTGAACTCTTGATATAAGGATAACTTTTGAAGAACTCAATATTTCAGGCTGAAATTTTTACTGTAAGTTTCCTAGGTCTACACTCATATTTTCTAAATTTTTCGGACGGATCGATTGTTTTGGGACGAAAATAGATTTTTGATAGGAGAGGAAGATTTTAATCAAACAAAATTAAAGCAATCAAAACGATTCCAAATTGTTGCATCTTTAAATAACGAAGAATATTAAAAAAACACTCACTAAATAAATTCAATGAGTGCAATTGACTGTAAATAATTATGACTATTTTAAACATTTAATGAAACAAAGACTTGATGAACTCATTTGTGCATGTGTTTTCCGTTCTACTGCTACTACTTTTTCTACATCTTAATATATGTAGATGGCTATATATTAATAGAAGACGAAAACAAAGAAAGAAGATATACATTCGAGAAAAAATATGATGTCATACTTTCATCTCGTATCATAACAGTTAGGTTTGATGGAAGCTTAATTACCATGATATTAGTTGAAGAATGATTAAATATCAGAGAAATATAGATCATTGTTTTTACTATAAAAACCAAAGTTTTCGATACTTTTTAGGGTTGGAAAGTAAAAATTCAGTAGGAAGTGCTTTCATTCTGGGAGTGCTAGAAATTCTAACCGAGGGGATGAAAAGGAAGGAAGAACAAAACGCACTATAAACCAACCTTTTCAATAATAGACGATCTGCCATCAAGCCATCTCTCGCTTAGGATCTGTCACAATTTTATTCATCTTGCAACGACATTTTCTGCTGATTTTTATTTCACTTTCTGTTAGAGACAGTCAAATGATGTTTTAAAATTCTTTTTCTGTCCGAAGTAAACACGAAGCTGTAAAAAAAGATGGTAGAATATATTAAAAATTTTAGCGTAAAGTCGGACATTTTGTGGTGGAAGTGGTTCCCTATTCTCCTAATAAAGAATTCTGATCAGAACCATAGCTTGAAAGAAAGTATTTGTACTCGGACTTCTCTAAGTAAAAGTAAGACTAATAGTATCAGTATTGATCAACTGTACTTTGTACTTTAATTTGCAATTTGAAGAAATATCTCTTTGCATATTCGAAATATCTTTCATAGCACTTCATACTGCCATCAGCGAATGATGCTTCAAGTATCAAAACTTATTTGATTAAGCCGCTTAATTGTATACTGCAGACCTAGTTGAACTTAATCGAAATTAAAACCAATTTTCGGGCTCCTCCTTATATTTGAATACTTAAGACTTTTTATATGAAGCATTTTTTTTTATATTTGTGATTCATTGTATGATGAATGAATGATGTTCAATTTAGAAAAAAATAGTCTTTGGATAAGTTGGATGACTTTCAGATGAATTTAAGAGTTTTTATTAAAGCAAATTTTCATCCTGAGTGTATGAAAATTCTTACATTATTAGTCACATACCAGAATCGATCTGATAAATTGCATCTGTTTTAAGTTCAATATTGTTAGAAAGAATTAATGATTTTCACCTATACTTTCAGGAAAATCTAAGACATATTGAAGAAATCCTATCAATTTATTCGAAAATGCAACGAAGTAATAGCCTGTCTTGGCTTATAGAGTCTGGATCTGAATTCAGATAGATTCTTCTTAGTACCATCAAGAGCTATATTTATCTATGTTAGTAACTCGAACAATTAAAATAGATGATTTTTACAATTGTTCGGAAGTGAATTTATCAGTATCTGAGAAAAAATTCATTAAAAGATTCTTAATTTTTTTTCTTTGTAATGAAATAATATCATGATGGTCTTGAAAAACTTTAAACACAAAGTTCGACATATTAATACATCAACTAAAAATATCACATATTTTGTTTTGAACTATAGCACAGGAGCAAGTACCCTTGTGACAAGACAAGTAAAAATATGAGAACATTTTTTTACAGTACAAATACTTTTACTTGCTGTACTTGTGTTATCTCGAATCAGAATATAGAGAAAGAAAGGATTTTTAAATTCTTTTTTGTAATAAGGAAACTAAAATATTTTCGCTGCTACTTATGATATGCTCTAAGTATAGTAAAAAAACCAGGATTATTTACCTTTGAAGCATTTGCATTGATCTATTTTATTTTTTAATTTATCAAGATCAGACTGAAAGTCATTGAGAATAACTGATGTCTTTGGAAAATACATGTTATTTATTAACGATATACCGAAAATAAAAGAATCCTACTTCATCAGATGAATTATGTACAAGATTAGTTAATTGCTCTAGATGTTTTGTCAATTCTTCTATTTTGATATTTTGATTGAAACTTTGAATTTCATTCTTAAATAAAAATAAACTAAAAAACTTTCTTTTTTCATTTATATAATAAAATACTTACCTGAAGCAAATTAAACTGTTCATATGATTTAACTATACTTTTATTTATCGTGTTTTCTATTCGATTTTCCATTTCTCGATTTAAATTCTATTTAAAGAAAAATTCTTTAAATTTTTTCAATAAATAGTTACTTACATTCAATTCATTCGTTGTTTTAAACAAATGTGCTGAGTTATGTTCAATTTTCTGCAGGTTAGATAAGATAAAATTATTTAACAACATCTGAATACAAAAAATTTTATTAGAAGAAAAACAAGATAAAATGTTTTCAATACTTGAACTTGTAGTTTTTGTAAGTGATTATAAATAAATGAAAAATTCCAATTTTCAAGCAATTGAACACGAGTTTTTATTTGTTCTATTACTGGTAAACTATGATTTAATTCTGTGTTTAAAAATTTCTTTTCGACTATTTAAATAAAATTAAAATCACATGAAAATTGAAAATAAAAAATTATTTACTTTCACTAATACGTGAAGAAAGACTTTGAACTTCATTTTTTAATTCAATACTTGCATAAGTTAAACTAAAACTATGATAAATAAAAAAGAACATCGAATCTAATTATACGAAAAATACAAAAATATTACCAAACAATAATAACAATACAAACAAGACTAAAAGAAAGAATATGTTGGGAATAAGTCCAAAGAAGAAGATATCCAGATGAATGTCTAAAAAAGAAATATGAGCCTCAATTTTTCTTGTCAAATTTCATGAACTTACAAATTAGTGATTGGTATTTTTCGATGAGGTATGAATAATTCTTCTTCAGAACTTCGAAATACATCATTCGAATTACTTTTCGTTATATGAAATTTCATTGGAGAATCGAATTGTTGACGTTTTCTCATATTTTTATTTAAATTACGTGGAATATTAGAAGACATACCAATTTCTAAATCATTAAAAGTATTGTCAATTAGCTCAAGTTCAGTGTAACGAGGGGAATCTCGATGTCACCAGGAGTGAGAGACTGTTGATATCTCAGGAGGCTGATTGGGAAATCTTTTCTAAAGTTAACCGAATCTCATGGAGGATGTTTGACTTTTTTTTTTGAAATAGATAAACAAAAAAGAATAGCACACTATAATTTCATTTGGGAAAAAAAGATATTTTTCAGGATTTGGTGAGTGACTCTCTCCCAAATTACGATTCTCCTGATTCTAAAGTTATTTTTATTTAATTTACATGTTATTGTAATTAGTGAACATGAAAATCTTATTTGATCAAAGTTGGAATGCTTTAATTGAGGATTAATCGAAAAATAGCTGAAAAACAATCTTGACGATTAAATTTATTCATTAAAAGATCATATCTAAACAAAATGAATAGGTGGCAAAACATCGAAAGTCAAAACGTCGAAATGCAAAATATCAAAAATAATTTTTGTCGAAAGTCTTAATAATCAAGTAGAAGTCACGGATTTTGCCCTCATCCACACTATCGGACTGTGCGCTCGTTGTTCTTTAGTAATTTGTTTATGAAACACTTGAGCAAGACCCGGATATTGTGCCTACAAAACGTGTAGTTTCGATATTTTGCTTTTCGACGTTTTCACTTTCGATGTTTTGCCACTTTTCCAACAAAATATGATTACAATGAGATGGATTAACTGTAAAAAGTGACTCAGAGGTGAGTTGACATATCGTTTTTAAAAATTTCAAACGTTCGTTTTTTCATTGAAAAAAGAATTTTTGAATGATTCACTTCATCATCATCTTCATTTTCCAATGATCGCATCTGTAACCATTTAACAAATGTCTTGCTAGAGGACGTTAGATATCAGAGATGATAAATATTTCTTCGAGATAATCTAAGCATACTGTTATTGATGAAATTGAAATAATATTAAGAAATCAGCAATATGAAAGTTTGCAGATAATTTAATGCATTTACATTTTATCATAAATTTTTATGTTGTCTTGTATATTTGGTTCAATTATTAGAATCATTTCTTTACTACTGAAGGTAAAAATTCCACTGACAGATATGATCGAAAATTTGGGATTCCGGATCTTCGCCAATAAAACTTTCGCCAAATAGCACTTTCGCCAATGGCGAAACTCCACTATACTTTCGCCAATAGACACACTGGAATATCGCCAATTGGCGAATGTCCACTGTACTTTCGCCAACACACTTCATGGAGTTTCGCCAATTGGCGAAAGTATAGGAGACTTTCGTCAATTTAAGTGCTAATTAGACGTGAATTAGAAAATGTGCATCGACTATATTAATAAGCGTAAGCTATAGTATATATTCTAACAGTATTAGCTTTAGCCCTTACATGTATCCTGTATTAATATTATTTTGTGACGGCTGACAAAACTCCACTATAGTTTCATCAATTGGCGAACGTCCGCTGTACTTTCGCCAATACATACCTTGGAATTTCGTCAATTAGCGAAAGTCCACCGTACCTTCGCCAATACACCCCTGTACTTTCGCCATTGGCGAATGTCCTATTGGCGAAAGTCCGAATTGGCGAACTTCCGGTAACCCGAAAATTTGATCTATCAAATCGCATTGAAGTAATTAAAGATGTCAAACGAACTACAATTAATGTAAAGTTTACTGTTGTTCTATCGATTTCTATTCTTTTTTTTTTGTGTTGGTCAAAATGGAAAAATTCATGTTGAAAGAATTAGTGACATTCATTAGAAATTCTCGATACTAGTTAACAGTGTTCTTGAAAATGAACAAAAGTTTTATTCAGCTCTTCACAAATTAATAATTCATTTTTTTATGATTTTTTTTTCTTTCGCTATTATACGTTTAAGGCTTGCTTGAAATATATTAATAACAATCTAGTAGCAAGTAACGGTAGAATCAAATTATTTGAATTGTTAGCTAAATATTGAGAGAAAATTCTAACAAAATAACAAAATAGTGTTATTAAATGTGTTTATTCATAGTTTTTAAAATTTTTCTAGTGACAAAATAATCGAAAAAAATTAAATTTGAAGAAAAACTTGAAAAAATTATGGTACATAGATTATCAGTTTTTCAAATAGATAAGGACTTATTTATTTATCTGCCTAACTAATTTTTAACTTTATCAAAGATAAAGCTCTCTATGAAATAATCTAACGGAAATTATAAGCAAAATGATCAATCAAACAATTAAGTGTATCGAATGATGATGAAAAGCCTATAATTTCATTAATAAAAGGCGATTTAATATCGGTTCTTTTCTCTCTTTCGTCTACTTTTGTTTTCAAAACGGAGTATGTAGTTCACAATATACATCAAAAGTAGAATAAATACTGAAAAATATTATATAGTATGAATTAAATTTTAATCCTTTCGGTATCAGCGTACAGATTACTACACGTCTTTTCTTTTTATAGTTTTTGAATTAGTGAATATGTTAAGAGTCCAAAATGATTTTGAGATGTCCGAATAGAAAGAAATCCAATGGTGTCAAATCTTGTGATCGAGAAGTCAATGATATCAGTCCATCTCTTCCAATTCATCTAACAGAATATGGGTGTGAAATTTAAGAAACTGGTCTTATAGATATAAGTTTCAATAAACCAGATCTACAAACTCTGAAAGTTTCACGTGATTTGAAAATACTCGACATATACGTGATAAAGACCTATAGAATACTCGAATAATATGAATGAGAGTTATCATTCAAATTTCCATTTTGTCACATTGATTTCAATAATGATTGTAAAAACCACTCATAGATGCACTTGTGATAAAGTACATTAAAACAATCAATCGAACAAAATCAAAATTTAGTTTTCAATTGTTATTCAATACCATTCAGCGTTTATGAACATTGATAAATGTCTATAAGCAGAGAAATCTAAATTTCTCATAGGTCAGCGTATTAATATGAAAATGGTAATGTAAGAAAATGTTAGTAAAGAGCACAAGCATGATACTATATGACCATCCTAGTCCATTTCATATATTGTTGGCAGAAAAAAAATGGTGATGTTGAAAGTTTAGATTGTTTCATGTGTTTCACTATTATGAATTACAGTAAAACTTTGACTTTTTCAGTTCATGCTCGTCGTGTTAACGCTGTCGCTTATGTACATTTGAATATTGATATCGGTAGTTTGACATATGTATTTTCTTTTTATTCTATCTTCTATTTTGATCATGGTAACTCTTATCTAAAAAATGATTATTTAAAGTCGATAAGATATTGACAGAATTCTTAAACAAAATTGATGATATAAATCATAACACGAATGATCATTTAATTCTAATCGTTTATACAATAAAATTGTTCATAGACAAGTTGATTTTATCAGTTTTATATTTAAAAATGTATAAAATTTTGTTGCTTGTTTTGTTTTATAAATAATGTCAATAAATTTCAGAAAAATTAAAACATAAAATGAAAATATATTTTACAAATATAAATTAGTCTTTGTCATAATATGTATATAAATATTTTATAAACAAAAGTTTTTGAAGGTTTGTTTTACATTCTATTGCGAAAATAAGAAAAATTTTCATTTAAAAATCATCCAAATAAATCGCCCATATCTTGTGGGAGAATAGTGTGTGTAGGACTATCAGTAAGTAGAAGTTTACTTGCGCCAGGTTCTCTCAAATGAGGATGTAATTGATAAATTTCTTCTATTGTATCTTCATGTAATGCAACATCAATATAAAGTGTACGTAAATGAACACATTTATATGCTAAATAAATAACGGCTTGATTAAATGCTGTTGTTCGTGTCATTGCAGCCCATTGGCCAGACGTATAAACATGAACATGTTCTAAAGTATTACTAAAACTATTTGCTGCTAAACAAAGTTCATCGACAACTGGAATAGGTGTATTAATAATCAATGTTTGCACCTATGAAGAACAAAAAAAAAATAATTCTTTTTTATTTTCGATAGAATAAACATACTGGTAATTGTAAATCAGCGTTCATATAAGCTCGAATACGATTAAGTGGTGTTGTTAAACCAAAATTCAATGTTATTTTTAAATGAGGATATTTTTCATGTAACTGTTGCCATAATTTTGTATCAATTTCATCCGAAAATTTTTCTTCTCTTCTTATTCTTATACCTAAATGATTAAGTCGTGATTTTCTAATTATTTGTTGTTCATCAGCATTTTCAACAAGCATCAAAATAAATTCATCTGATAATGAGACCATATCAACCCAAATATCTTCAAGTTCTTTAAGCATATCAATTATTTGTAAAATACAAAATGGTGTTAAAATACAAACTAATGATTGATCTTGTAAATTTAATTTACGTAAATATGGATTATTTTTAATTAATGTTAAAACTGTATCATCATCTAATGATATCGTAAGACCGGATAAATCACACGAAATAAGAGATTCGCGACGATTTCTGGAAGCATCATATTGAAAAAATACTCGTAATGCTTGAATTATACTTTGAGATTTCATTAATAATGGGTTATGACTAATAAAACGTAAACGAAATGAACGAATTTGTCGACCTTGTGAACATTGTTCTGGTCCAAAAAGGGTTAAAAGTTGACAAAGAACATAACGACACGACACATCATGTTGTTCAACATCAATATATAAAATTTTAACATCTTTACGAAATCTTTTTAAATATTGTTGAATATAACCATATGGTCTTGGATCAATATTTGTCATATGTTTTGGTTGATCTCTAGGTTGTCGTATCCATCGTGGTAAAACACGGCCAAGTCGTTTTGGAGTTGGATTAATTGGTTCTTCAACATATGCATGTAATTGTACAACACAAGTAAATGCAAGTCCAGGAGAATTACGTAAAATATTATACCATAATTTACATGTTTCTTCTAAAGCAGGTCGTTCATCGATTGATAAATAAGAAAATATCTGAACCAAGACGAGTTCAGGAAGGTCATTTATAGGACAACGTTCTATCTCATCTGATGACGCCATATTCTGTGATGATGCTTGTAGTTTCTGCTTCTAGAAAGAGGAATATATGTGTATATATGTATGAATATATAGGCATAAGAAAAAAAACCAGCGTATGGAATATGATGTTCTTTCTCTCCACGCAGCAGTATTAATAGGGTGAAAGAGAGAACCGAATGAAAAACATGTGGCTATGAATCATCTATCGTTACTATGTGAAACGCATTACCTTATTAGGAGAAAGTGTGTGTTTCAAAATCACCTTTTTTGGTAAAAAAGAATTTGCAAAAAAAATGCTTGTTGTAACAAGTCGAAAAATGACATCCCTCTTTTTTTCACTCCATTTTTTCTCAATCTTTTGTGACATTTACGTATAAACTAACATATAGCAGTAACGAAGATCGCAGTTATTAATGCATTTTTGAGATTTCGATCGACTTTTTGCTAGGAAATAAATTGTTTATTGGAAACTTTTGCCATTGTTATTGATAGTATTATAATAGTAGTAACAAGCAGTTTTAACAAAGATTAATCATCTTTTTAAATATCTATCGTGCATGAACGTTGAAAATATCTTGAAACAATATTAATTTCTTTGAACTTCGATCAAAATCTTTTCAGTCGAGAAAGTTCTTTTATTTCTAATAAGTGAGTCATATTGTATTGAGTTATATGTAGATGCAATTCTCCTTTCATCTAAATTCGTATAATATATTCATTTATGTACCAAAAGATAAAAATTTTCAAGTTTTACAAAAGTAAGAACTGCTGTTTTAAAAAATTCATGATGAACCAAGCAGGTCCGAAGGTATATATAATTTTTTTTTCATTTATTATATCCTGAATTTTTAGATGAAGCTTTTGTTTAAAGTTTTTTGATATATACCCAAAAAGATAAACGTTCTCATCGAGAATATGTTCTTTGTTTTAGAATTCTAGTGAATTTTTCGGTCAAAATGTCAAATTTTTTTTCTTTTCTTTTTATTTCCATGGTGGAGTTATGTAGCATACCTCAGTGTGTTGATTGCTTTGAAATCAAAAAGAAGTTCTTTTATAGAGTGAAGTACATCATTTTGTAGAGCTTGAAATTCTCTATCTTCTTGTTATATAAGTGAATATTTTATATAAATATTAAATGATGCCTGCCGAAAAAGCCGTCGAAATTTGACAGAAACCTGCAAGCGTTTCGGCAAACGGTAAAAGTTACAAAAAAGACAGAATAGTGAATGATTGAAAAATTGAATTTAAAATTAGTTCGATCATTATGGTACAATCTTAGTAATAGGAATTAAAATGATCTAACATAAAATTTTATTTTCGTCCTTTTTTAATCAGTTTATTTCTAAAAAAATAGTTCAACATAGTATCGTTATATGTTCTGAACAAAACTTCTACATAAATGCATCTTAAAAAAAACGTAAATCAATACTGAATTTTTTCTAATTCTAAGCGATATGATTCCATTTTCAGAAGTAATGGATCATTCGATGATGAAACAAAAGATTTCATTTCTTGTATAGCATCAATTAATTCTGAATATGTATAAGAATTACATATTCCATTGGATAATTGTACATCACAAGCAAATTTACGAAGTTGAATTAACACTCGTTCAGGTTCATCAATTGGTAATGTTAAACGAGATCGTTCGACACCTAAAATTCGGTTTTTTTTTCTACATTATAATAATTGAAAAAAAAAAATAAAATTTTTGCTAAATTACCTTCAGTATATGAACGTAAAGCAGACTGAAGCATAATTTGTTTCGTGGATGGTCTTGCAATAGAAGAATTAAAAAAAAGAAAATCAGCACGTTGTCGTAATGTCATAACAATATCTAAATCTTTATTTGATTTTGATGCAAGAAAATAATTATCAATTAACTGTATTATATCATTACATAAATAATCAATTTCATTTTCAATTATTTCTAAATAATCAAAATCAATTTTTTTATGTAATTCAATTGATGTTAATTTCCAATAAGATTTAAAATTATAATCAAGTATGAGTTTATTATAAGCTGTATAAAGCATTTGACGATCCATTGGTGGAATATCATCATAATTTTTAAGATAATTTTTATAGATTAATATGACTTCATTATAACGTTTAGCACATGAAGCAAGACCAGCTTGCTCACGTAGTTCGATTAAATTATCAACCATCTACAATAGAGGAAAACCTATTTTCTGTATTTAATTGTATGCAAAATCATTAAGAACAGAACGGATACCAATCTTCAGTTTTTATATACAATAATATACTATAGCTCATTCTATGTTGTTTTTTTTTCATTCAAAAGATCAAAGACTGTTGTCTAATAATGCTCAACTACAGGCAAAGCTTATATACAAATGTCAATTCGATTCAATGATATATTACTGTTTTATGATCTTCAAAGGCTAGCCATTTTCCTTCCAAATTGCCATGGAAAAAATGGTAACAATTCTAGAAAAGATTGATGAGCTTCGATGAAATTAACTACTGAACAATGAACAATAGGACTGACCCGTAACGTACTTCTTTTTCAGATTTATGAAATTAAAAGGATAAATATGTGCAAGCCATTACTAACTTTATACAGCAGACAAGATATGAGAGGTAAGAGCCTTTTGTTCACTAATGTAGATACATCAATCAATATCTAAGTTTATTGATCATGCAATGAGAAGTACCTGATAGTTTTCAACAGGTATATTTAAAGGGATGTTTTCGCAAACGTTTATATCAGGTTTTGAGTTTAAAAATAAAATTGTACTTTCGTAAAAATCGATTTCTTGGATGAGTCCATCATCAAATTATCAAAATCTTTCGAAGAGGTTCGACATAGATCTTAATAAAAAAGTTTTAATCATTATTTAGTTAGTAGCTGATATCTATCTTCATTTTTAAAGTAATGTCAAATGATTAGATCAACACAAAGAAAGTCCTCTGCTTTCGATAGATACTTTGTTACAAATAATATTTTTTCAAATTTCGAATAAGTTACTTCAAATGGGTATAAGTGAGAAAAATCAACATAGTCAAAATTTTCTATGTTAACTGAATTCATGTATATATATATATATATTACACTTCGTAATATAACCATCTAGAAATGTTCAATGTTTTACAAAGTGGAAGGATTTCATTTTTCAAAGCATTATTTTCTAACTGTCTATTTAGAACTACTCATTATCTAATCGTTTAAATCTTTTGAATAGATTGATACACGATGACATCCTATTTAGAAAATTGATAGCTGTTTTTGTTCTTGAGTTATATACTGAGCCATCAAACATATTTGGTTTTTTAAATGAATAGTAATATTTCACTAAGTAATTGTGTTGAAGTATCATCTAGTAAGTGCTTTTTTTTTTCTGATAATTCTTTATTTGATTAATCTAAAAATTAAAAAAAAAAAAAAACATAAGCCAAACAAAAGATAAAATGAATCTCCACCATTCGTTATTTATTATTATTATTTTTATTATTTAAATAAATCTAATAGCACCAGGTTAAAAAGAAAGAAAAAATCTAAAATAGAAAATAAAAAAAAAAATCAGTCTTAACTATATAACATATCATTTTATTATTAATTTTACTTTGTTTTATCGTTGTCGTTTTCGAACGAAGATGTTCAATTATAAATGTTGTATTATCATCCGAACATTTTTTATTATTATTATTAATCAGATAATCAGGTAAAATAAGTAATTCACGTTTTGCTGCATTAAATATTGGAAATGGACCTTCATGACACACTTCACCTGTTTTATCATCAAGATCTAATGACCATATAATCACACCACCATAACGATGTTCTTTTAAAAACTGCATCTAATTATTTTTTTTTTTTTTTTTGAAAGAGAATTCATTCATAGTAATTCATAAGTTTATTTATTTTTACTTTAAGTGTAACACTTCGAATATTATCAAAACCAATCCATAATGATTTACTTGATACATATGGAACACTCATTTGCCGATGCCAAAATACACGATTATTAGGATTATTTTGAATCAATTCACAAATCTATTTATTTAAAAATTAAATGTTTACTTATTTTATAAAAAAAAACAATGAAAATATTTACTTCATAATAAGCAAGAACACCTGCTTCTCTTGTATATCTTCCAGCTTCAGCAGCACTTGCTTTCATTCCGATTGATGATTTTTTCTTTGTTTCAGGTTTACCATGGCTCATACCTGTTTCTCCAAATAATGAAAAAGCTCGTCCTAAACAAAGAATTCATTGTACGAAATATATAAATGTAGATGGAAAGAAAGACAAACCATAAGCTGAAAGACCAATATTAAGTTTTTCTTTTGGACAACCTAATTCAACCCATACATGCATCGAACTATTTATATTCCATTCACGAAATTTTTTTCGTTCATTACGCATTCCATATAACGGACTATTATGTCCCGTTTTACCATCCCAACTACCATGATAATCATCTATATTAGAGAAATAAAATATTTTCTTTTGCAAAACAAAAACAAAACATATTTTTGAATTAGATAACTCACAAGTCATAACTGATACAAAATCAAAGTATCTTGAAACAAAAAAAAAAGAAAATTATTGAGCGTTAGAAAATATCAAAAAGATATTCTTACTTGCAAACTTCTTCTACTTCATAACCAGCTTCGATTCGATGTCGGGCAGCAGCTATACAAATATGAATTATAGATTTTATATCTTTTTTTTTAAGAATAAAGGTACCTGTTGCACATGTCAGCAATAATTTTTCTTGTCCTGTACGTTCAGCTTCCCGTTTGAATACTCGACTTAATTTCTATTTTCAAATAAACTTTTTTTTATAAATTTTCTATGAAAAAATTTTCTACTTACTTTCACCAATTTCGTATATCCAGTTTTAGAATGAGGTTCAGCTCCTTGATCTTTTGCTCCAGGATATTCCTATTCGAATGAAATCCTTTTTTTTTTCATTAAACAAACTAACAATAAATATTCTTTTACCCAATCTAAATCTAATCCATCAAATTTATTGTCACGTAAAAATTTCACACTATTCTTAACAAATCTTTTACTATATTAAATAAATAAACAAATTCTATAAATTCTTTCTTGATCTAGGTAACAAAAAAAAACACCTACATATTTGCTGCACTTTTGGATATCTCATTGAAACCACGAGATGCATGTGTCCATCCTCCAACACTCAGTAGTACACGTAAATCAGGATTGGCTTCTTTTAATTTTAATACACGTTCATACATGCCTTTGGAATTTGCTGTCCATCCTTTTAAATCATCTTCTTCATATGGTGCTATTATTAAACTTTCAAGTACTTTAGCAAAAGCAAAATTAATATGTGTACATAAAAATGGATCTATATCTTCGGGAGTTAAACGACTGATATTATCATATCGTTTAGCTGCCCAATTAGCAAAATAACAACTAATTTCAAAATAATAAAATCATATGTAATTCATGAAATAAATAATTTTTTTAAAAATCTACTCACACACGTCGATAGACAAATGTCGATTCAGTTGATGTATCATTTTGACAATCAGCTCGAACTAAAAAGGCTAAAATTTTCTAATAAATATGTTTTTATTTTTCTATACCTTGTCTAATTGTTAACCAAATAATCATCATCAGAGAAGTCAAAATACTTGTCGTCATTGTACATGAATGAATAATAACAACTAAATCTTTGCTTGTTGATGCTTATCGTTCGTTTGTTGAAGTTAAATCAAGCCCGTTCTAATCTCTTTCTTTCTCGCTTTGTTTATATACAATACGAGTGTGATGTTTGCAAACAAACGATTCATATGATCGAAATTGACAAAAGAAAAATACATCGAAAATGTTTCAATATTTGAATTTATTTATTTTATCTTTTCATCAACGATGTTTAACACCAAAAATCAAACCAATAACGACGTTGCAGGAAGTAGGACCATCGAGCAATCACTTACAAATTCAAAATTAATTAGTTTTTCACGATTTTTTTTTCAAACGATACTGAACGCCCAATGTTGAAAAATCTTAATGCCATAAAGATCAATTGACTATATTTTCCATTAAACTGATGATCACAATAATGACAATTCAATGGTATATTTTTTTTTTAGTCAAAATACTCATTTTTCCACTTGAACTCGCTAGTGGTTCTTTCTGTGCTTATTTATGATTTGTGACATAACATGTTCATTTATTTGAAAGTTGAAAAAATACATTTGTGAAGCAGTATATAAAAACCGGCCAAGATCGTCTTTTAATTGAGAGTAACTAACTTCTCTTCACTAAACATCACTTTTTGTGATCAGAGTTGAGTAAGTAAGGACTTATCGAGTACGAGTACCAGTACAGCGAAAGTTACACTCGAAAACGAAGATTTTGAATACGATCAATTGAGAACATTTGTTTAACGTCGTGACAGTATTAATTATCAAACTTCAATGGGCGAACTTTTAGATAAGATCGAAATTGAAAGAAATTAGCTATGTACTTCAACTTCAAAATGTAGAAATAGATATCTAGTACCACCTTCACAGGATACATTTTATCTAACACGACGAAAACAGATAAGACTACTTTCCAGTTTTCAAAATATTTCATTTTATGGTTCGCGTTAGACTCGTACTTCTTTACGAGGTCAAAAACCGTGATCATCCTCCTACAAGGAATGAGTGAAAGTTGAACAATGGATCGAGAGATGTTGTGAAATAAACCGTCACTGTGATGATAGGGCTCATTTCTGATATGATTTCAGTGCAACGAGCCAGTAATATTTTGGGGATGGAAAAAATGGCCTTAACAGCCCTCCAATTATAGAGTGCTTGGCATTTGAATACGTGTACGAGTATTAATTCTTTGAGTACAAGTACTTCGGGTATTTTGTCCAGTTCTGTTTGTGATGGTAATAAGTTCTACGAAAAATTGTAGTCCAACTAATTTTCAATTGCCTATTGCTGTTCATTCCTCAAAATTTTTTAGCTGACAAATGACACATAACTAAAAAAATTTCTGCTTACGCCGTAGAGTTAAACGTATCAAAATACAACCTAAAATCTACATCAATAAACAAATAATTCAATACAAAGATATTCGACAAGGATCATATAAATTAAATTAATGAACATTAATGAAAGAAGAACTGAAATGACTCAAAGTATCAATACTGGTAATGATGACACTTGGCTCATTTGATGAAAATAATTGAGCAATATATTGTTATTCTACGTACATCATATACCACGAAGTAATATACATTCATTTCGATGCATTCAAAGTATTTTTCGAAATTTAATTTAACTTTTGAAGATTCAATTACATATTCTAATAAGGATAAAACTACAATCTATTTATCTGAATAAGCTGCGTAATAGTAGATAAAAGCATAGAATCAACGCATACTTCAAATGTTACACAAACAATAATGAAACTGACTCTTTTTGAGTCTATACGAGCATTTTCTAATGCACTTTTCATGCAATCTAATACCACTAATTCACTTAGAATCGTAATAGCTGTCCATTAGAGTCCACATAAAAATTGTGATACTTTACCCAAAATATTTGGTCTTGATTCATCTTACATCTATGTTAATTTGATATGATAAAAACCGATCCAACACTTTTCTAAAAACAAATCATTCAATCATAGACTAAATCAAAAACATTAATAAGATTTACACAATCTTCTCTTTTAAAACTACTTACGCAGATTGACCAGTAAATGATTTTGAGAAAAGATGCATACATTTAAAACTCTATATTGAAACTGTATGAATAGCAATTTTGATTGAATTCCTTGTTATAAAACGATTGGAACAAAATCATTAGCAGAGAACGATGCTATTACATTAGATATGGAACGTGTGCGTTGTCGATTACATCAAACAGACTCTACAATGTAGTCTCAATGAAATACTACATCAAAATTTAATACTGAAACAATCTCGAGACTAACCATTACATAAGCTTAAGATTTATAAATATATATATATATAATTTTTCAAGAAACAAACAGTATTTTCTTTCTGATCCTATAAAATGGAAAATTACAATACATTCTTCCCTAGTTGTATTAAATTGATGGAAATTATGACCCAAATCTATAATTGTATTTCATTTCATTTACTAGATTTGAAAAGTTTTGTTTTACTTAATCATTTAATTACAGTATAACTTTGCGTACTTTCTTCTTCGGTATTTATCTATCAATGATCATTCGATCTGATTTCATCCTCATTAGCATATACAATACAAGTGATTGAGATTTCGATCAGTTTCACTAATAATAACAGTGTTTTGTTTTAGATGCATTAAATTAAATGAAATGAATAGGAACGATTTCAACGAACGAATGAAATTCATTCATGAGCCTTTACATAAAATCATTACCAACGCCATCTGTTCAGCATTGGTAATTTCTTTTTATATAGAATCTATTAATTGATTGAATCTAGCTATTTAATATTTATTAAACAACAATTATTCTGTAGTCATATATTTTTGACAAGAAAACAAATGACTCATATTTCCGATTATTTGCACAACAACAACAGAAAATTTCTTTGAAAAAAAACTATTAATTGAACAAACTTCTATTTCTTTTTCCCCTTTTTTTTGCAGATTAGTTACCTCATTACTAGAAAATATGGCTGAAGATGAAATTCTAAGAATTAATAGAAAATTACAAAAAATGATCGATAAATCTGACGTGGTGTGTTGGAATTTTTGAATAAATATTGTTCTCTTATTTACTCATCTGTCTTTAGGATGAAAGTATTGCTCGAGATTTGCTTGTTCGTTTGCAAGCATCACGTATAACACTTAGTACTCTACAAAAAACGGGTATTGGAAAAACCGTGAATACTTTACGACGACTAATTTCTAATGAAGATTTGTCAAGTATTGCTAAATGTCTTCTAAAAAATTGGAAAAAGCTTGTATCCGGTTTGTTTCTCATATTCTCAGTAATTATAAATATATATTTTATTGTTGTTAAATCTTAATTAGAAACTTCATCAAATAAAGATGACAGACAATCAACATCTAGCAGTAATAATAACAGTCAAAGTTCACAAGAAACAAATGTAGTCAATGGAAAAAATACAGATTCTAGTGAATCTACTAAACAGAAGTCATTCGAAAAACGCTCATCGTCGCATAATTATACTGCATTACAAACAGAAGATGAATTTCGGTCAGATGTCAAATAATTCATAAATATTAAATAAGACTTCATCTACTTCAGATTAAAGTCACGTGAACTTTTAGCCACTGCTCTTTCAAGTTCTGAACTTCCTGAAGGATCTGCTAATCCAGAAGAATTAGCTGCTCGTATTGAAGATGGTAAAAAATAAAAATATTTTTATTATAAATGAAATTTTTCGATTTCTTTTTTTTAGCTATTTATAAAGAACTTAAAGATACAGGTGTTAAATATCGTAGTCGTGTCCGTAGTCGTTTTTCAAATTTAAAAGATGCTAAAAATCCAAATCTTCGTATAAACGTTCTTCTCGGTATAATTACACCAGAAAGATTAGCTGTACTCACTGCTGAAGTTCGGTTATCTTTTTTTTTTTAAATTAAAACAAAAAATAATAAACATCTCTCTAAAGTAGGAAATGGCAAGTGATGCATTAAAACAAGAACGATCAAAATTAACCGATTTGGCTATTAATGAATGTCAACTTGCTGTCGATGAAGGCACTGGTACTGATCTTATTCAATGCAAAAAGTAAAATTTTATTGATTTTTAAATCAAATCGACAAAAATATTGTGAAATATTTTTTCAGATGTAAACAAAATAATTGTGCCTATACAGAAGCTCAAACACGTAGTGCTGATGAACCTATGACTTTATTTATTCTTTGCAAAAGTTGTGGACATCGTTGGAAGGTGAGGAAAAAAACATAATTTTATTGAAATAAAAATTTATTATAAATGTTTTTTTTTTTTTTTCATTTCAGATGTAGATCAAAGTAAACTTTTCCATTTATCGTACATTCATTCTTTCCCATTATATTTTCTTTTTTTTTTCTTGTAATTAATAGAATTTTGCCTAAATTTATTACAGTCACCATCATTTAAATAAAACGTTGTTTTCTTTTTTATTTTAGATTTTTCTATTTCCTTGTTTTATTCATGTCGACCGGAACGAATAATAAATCAGCTGCTCAATTAATGGCTGAGGCAAATAAAAAAGCTAAATCAGCTAATGGACTTTTTCAACGTATGCTTGGATCAGGTAGTACAATGAATGAAGATGCTCGTGAACTTTATATTCAAGCGGGTAATGCCGGTAGAGCTGAAGGTGATTATCCAACATCTGTCGAAGCTTATAAACGAGCATTAGATCTAAGTACTGAAGATTATGAAAAGGCTCAAATGTATGAAGCAATATCATCATCATATAGAATGTTTGATTTACCTCAAGCTATACCACCACTAACACGTGCAGCTGAATTACATATGACTCAAGGTAAGTGGACAATGGCATCACAAATATTCGAAAAAATTGCCGAATTATATGAGCAAATGAATGATTATGAAAATATGATGAAATGTTTAAAAGAAGCATATCGATTTCTAAAACAAGAAGGTCAAAAAGCAAGTGCAAATAGAGTACAAAAGAAAATGGCAGAGACACTTGTACTTAAACATCAATTTATTGAAGCACAACAACAATTTGAAGAAATGGCTGAGAAAACAAAAGATGATGCTATGCTTAGATTTACTGCTAAAGATCATTGGTTAAAGTAATCGATAAAAAATTTTATTTTCAACTCATTTTTATAAAAATTTATTATAGAGCAACAATGTGTGCATTATGTATTGATGTTGAAAATGCTAATACAGCATTGAGTCGATATATAAATGATAATCCACTATTTGAAGAGCGATCAAATGAAGTAAAATTACTTCGTCAATTAATTGCTGATGTAGAAGAACAAAATAAAGAATCATTTTTAAAACATTTTGATGATACAGCTTTATCAACATTACGTGCTGATCGAATATTTCGCTCAATGATTGATGATATTGCAAAAAAGATTAATGGTGATGTTGATCTTAAATGAATTAATAGCATATTCAGAACAGTAACTATTTATTTTTTGAGTAGACTTTGTGTATGTCTGTGCAATGAAAGCTTAAAATATGAGATATTTATCATTGTCATTTATTTATTTTATTTTATTTTTTGTCTTTTTTCGTGTTTTTTTAAATCTATAAAGAAAAATCTCGGGATTGTAGAGTTATTCCATACTTTTAGAATATCTCATTTTTTCCCGTTGTCTTGTATGTGATTGTGTCTGTTTATATTTCAAATAATCTTCATTTGTGGTTTAATAAATAAACTGGCTAATATAAAGAAAAAACTTTCAAATGAATTATTATCAAAATGTGAAACTAATTTACTTCGTTTAAATGAAATGTATATCAAGATAAAAACAGCAATAGATTAAACCGAAGATTTCATTTGGAGTTGACGTGTTTTTCATAGGAATATAGCGAGATTAAATAGTTAAACAGAACAACTTCTATCAAATTATATAATGACTATAAATCCGATATTTATTGAGTTTAATTTGTAATAAAATGGCACTCGTAAAACATGAGAGGGAAGTTAATAAGATATCCTTTATCAAGATCGGCAAATGAAATTAGCGTCAGTATCAAGTGTATTTCATATGTACACATGTATGTATATCTGTAGTAAATTCACCATTGAAACGATTAAGAAACAGTCTTGGAAGCCTTTGAAAAACTTTTACACGCATACTACTTTCTCTTGATCATTGTTATAGATATTCCAGTATTGTTTTTTCCTTTAGACATCCTGTATTGTTAAAAAAAGACTTTGCAAAAAATCGATGACAAATTGAGCATGAATATGTCATCCTTTGACTACCAATGAATATTTTATTTGACAAAAGCAAAGATGAACACCCCTTTTTGCCACTAACTGCTTTGCGTCCCTAATACAGATGTGGAAGATCAATGTTTTTCTTCCAAGTTCTCGTAATTTTTTACCAACGATTCCTTTTACTTATTTTCTAGCAGTTTCAGACTCAGTGGTTTTAGTTTTTTGGATCTCAGTCTTGGTTTGAAGAAAACTATTCTAGAATTCATTGATATGACATGAAAAAGTTCATTTATACTCATTTGTTGATTTATATAGTTGATGACTAGTATGTTCTTGACTTATCTCTTTTCAATTATGTTCTGATCCATGTTTCGTAAGATAATTCGTTCAGAACCATAGAAAATTGCATTCTAATCTTTAGTTCTGCCTGAGACAACTTTTTACTCGTAATCCTGATCGCACACATCTCTAGTCACAAAACATCAATTTTTCTTACGTATTCTTGAGAATTTTGTTATGCTTGTGAACTTCGTATCATTTGTTTTGATCATACGTACACATTTTAAAATGATACAAGAAAACAAACACTCATAATCATTTCGTATTTGTTAAAAAAATACTTCCAGATGAATTTATTAGACGACGCTCAAAAAGATTCAGTAAACCATCCTCCTTCAAAATAAGATCTTACTGGGCTTCTAAGTAAGTTTGAAAATTATACGTTTGAAGGTGGGCTTCTCTTGTGACTCGCTTTTTTTCTTCTACCACAGCAAAATTTGAAAATACTGTGCTTGAGAAAAGCCGCACTAACATTGTAGGAAATGTATTAAGATTTCCTCAACAACTGTTTCTAGTCCAGGAGCGTTCAAAAGGCATGAAGTTTTCAGAATATTGTTGGGGCTGGAATCGAGAAGCTATGGTAAAATTTTCAGCACAATATCGTGTCGCTTGATGCAGATATTGACCAAATAAGGGTCCAAAATAGCTCATTTGGCAAATCGAATTTTTCTGTCCAAATTCAGTCTTTACATTTAATTTTTTTATTTGAAAGAGTACGCCACGATGCAGTATAGTACAGAGCTCTTCGTCTTAGATTCTTACTTTTTAAGGAAAGAAAGAGGAGGACCGAAAGTTCAATGACTCCAAAAACTCTCTAAAAATGACGCTTTAATTATATGAATGTTTGTAAATATATAGTAAAAGCAAAGCTTCATCAAACGAAAGAGCTTTCTACTGCACTGCGTCTTGACGTGCTCTTTCAAACAAAACAAAAAATAAAATACATAGAATGAGTGTCGACAGAGAAATTCGGATCGCGCGATCACGAAACTATAAACGGAGAAAAAGCGAAAAAAATATTTTTTTTTTTCTGAATACAGCTTATTTTTCGAATAGAGAGTGACAGAAATCTTCAAAAATTTTTGAAAAAAACGTGGTGCTGAGTCAAAAATTTTTCTCACTTATAAAAAACCAGATCACGGGCTATCTTTCTATGCATTTATCTTAATTTCGATCATTCTGACGAAAAAGTGACGACTTTTGAGAGAGCCTTAAAACGCAAATATGAATTGATATATCTATGGGTGTCCCGACGTAGCAAAACTTAAGAGGATCGACGAGTTTTGTTGAAAATTTTTCAAAAAATTTTTTTTTTTTCTAAAATGTTTATAAATTATGAAACTTTTCCAAGAACTTACCGAAAATTTCAAAAAATAGTTTCTTAAAAGTTTTAAAACTTGTCAAGTATAAAAACGAAATGTTTGAAGATTAAGGATGACCTTCGACTTGCCCCTCGTTCAGGACATCTCTCTATATATCACAAATAACAATTCAGAGAACAAAATGTTGTTGAAACGCAGAATTATTGACATGACATCGGCGACGCACGAAGCTAATAAATCCAACAAAAAAAATATTACAGAGTGAAAGGCTCAGATCGATGAGCATATGATCATTTTATTGAAAACAGTGAACATTATCAACCAAATCATTCGAGTTTTTTATTTCTCTATATGTACACGTTTTGGACTCAGTGAGCTTCTACTATTCTATATGTTATATTTTGTTCTGTTAAATGATTACTTTCCATGTACCTTTACTTGAAAATGATAATAAATTCATCAAAACGTCGTAAGATGACGAAAAAAACTAAAAACTATTTGTCTTTTTATTTATTTAAGCTTCTGTAACACGCTTTTTCATATTACACAATTTTTTGCCCATGTATCAATATAATTATTGAATGGTTAAATAGATATTCACGTTTCTTTTTTGATCGGATTTTTGGAATATTCTGTAGATGTCTGATAAATATACAAAAAAGCTATTAAATTATTTGACAATAAAAAAAAGGTTTTCTTTGTAATTTCTCAATTTCCACTTTTGTAGGTTTGGCAACGATGGTAGATGTCAAAGATTGTTTTTGTTGATTCAATAGAGATCGTAAATGAGCTAATTCAACTAATGATAAACTTCGACTTGTTCGTTGAAGAGAATCATCTTGCAATAAAGATACAACTTGTTGAAGTTCAACATTTTCTATGATTTCACTCATATACATCAAACTTCGACCATTAAAATTAACAAATAAACGAGACATTTGCAGCAAACCATGACCAGTCAACCAATCATGCACGTGTGTTTGATTCCAATCAAGAATATTTTCCGGAAGTATTAATGCTGATAATAGTTCTGGCGATACAGGTGTCATAGGAATCGTAATATTAACTTCTTCTTTCAAATCAACATTTACAGGACATATTTCACTGATGACTGGAGCTTTCAGTTCTTTGATTAACATTTTCATAGCTTGTGAAAATTCATATTTAGTAAAATTTACATAAACTAATTGACCAACTAGAAATAATAACCAACCATCGGGTTTATAATGTTGTTGTAAAAGAATTGGAACAATTTTAATTCGACGTTGAAATGCATAATTTGCTTCTGCTCGACAATAATTACTTCTTCGATATTGTTCACTCATACATATTAAAATTATATTTGATTGTTCAATTGCTTGTGCCATTGCATCCATAATATTACCATGCATTTGATCAAAATCAATCCATACACGATAACCTATTTTGATAAGTTCTTCATATAATTGTTTACAGAAAATTTTATCTTGATGTGAATAACTAATCATAATGTCAAAATTTTTTTCATTATTAATTGCTAATGTTGTACGATTTTCATGATTTATTTCTAAATTCCATAATATTCCATATGAAAATTTTCGTATTTGATTATCACATTCTTTTGGTAGAGAAGTTAATTTTGTTATAAATGATGTATTTGAACGAAGTTGTTCTTGAATATTACGATTGAATGAAAGTGCCCATAGAATATCGTATACTATTGGATATTGATCACATATTTCAATTAAAAATGACACTTTGTTGGTGTCAGCTATCTGCTGTTGAAAAGTATCAATTTTTGATAAATTCAATAACACTAAAAATGAATATTTACTAATGAAATTTGACCATCAATTATTTATAACTTACATTTCAATAGGAGCAATATTGGTATTTGTTTAAACTTTTTTGATGGATGTTGCCATGCTTCTTCAAATATATTAAAGAATAAACTACCTGCACTATCAAAAATTTTTAATTCTTTCAAATTTTCATCACATAGAATTTCACCAAGTATTGCATATATACACAAACGCATTTTATCAAAAGGTGATATTTTAGCCATAGCCAAAAGTGTATCTGGTAGCGAAATCTTTGAACGTAGAAACCAAAGAAAATCTCCATTTTGTGCTATAAGTAATATACGAAATAAAGTTACTTCTAAAATAATTGTTTGATCATTTGATCGCTGTGTCGTAATCGATTGATAGAATGGCTTATAATCAATAATACGAATAAGTGCATTGATATATTCGCAGGTTGCTAATTCAGTCGGAAAAACTATTTTTGTTTGTGATCTCTTTTCTTCTCCCCACCAACAGCAAGAAGCGAAAAGGGCTAGAAGGTGTGTAATACAAGCCAGTAATTGTGTACTCCATAATTCTATAGTACAAGTATGAAGAAGAATTATTTGTACGTAATCAGCACCAAAATGATGAATTAATTCTTCCGGAGTATAAAGAAAAACTGAAGGTTTTGCCAATAAATATGTACTTAAAAATAATGAACATGTTTTAATATAGAATAACTGTTTAGCAGTAAATATAGATTGTGATAATGGTGATTGACGCAGTTGATTTAAATAGAATTTATATTGATCAGTCATAATATAGTTACGCGCCATATAATAATTGATATGAATGATAACAGTGGACATTTCAAATTCAGCATTAATATATAAGAAACAGCAAAGATTATCATACCATAGACTAACTATGATAATAAATGGATCATTTTCATCGCTTGTTTTTTCAAATCTTTCGAATATATCATTAATGCAGTCAATTGTAACAGGAAAAAGCAATGAACCTTTCGTATTAACTTCAATATCTTCATAATTGATAATTAAGTTCTTATTAAATAATGCAAGTGTATGAAATAATTCTAAATAGTTTGGGTTTTCGATCCATTCATGAGAATTTTGACTGAATAATTGCCATGTCCAATGTTCAAGGATGAGTATTGATTGATAGAATTGTGAAATAAATGATGATGATAATTCAGAATTTTGTTTTTCTAAAATATATCTTATTTCACAAAGACAATCATTGTATGATGAAGATGTTTGAAGTGTAGTAATAAGTTGTTCAAAATTATTTTCCATCCTTAGTGTTTAGAATATTTTTTCTAATGCATATATCTATTATTTGTTCTCATCATTGATTAGGTATGAAAGCACGTTGTTTTTTATCGATATATATATTCATTTTGTTTGTTTTATTATTCTGTTGGTTGTCATTGTCTAGGGTTAATAATCGCGTGGTAGGTAAGTAAGGTGTGCGCAATTTAAAATTATAGCAAATTTTTTTCCGTGATATTTACGCATGATTGGATAGAGTACAACGTCTTACCTAGGAAAAAATGGTTATTTATTTTTAAAAACGATTTTTGCCAGAAAGTTTTTCGGCAATCAAATTTCCAAAAACATCTGTTTTTTGCTGCCTTTAAGTGGTAAATCTGCAATTGAATTTTTCTATGTTGTTTTCAACCTCTACTGGTGCTTTTTTCTACTTCACGGCAAGAATTTGTCTATAACAATGTACGTTCAGTAGCTCAACATTCTTTTCAAACTTTCTTTCCCTAATGATGACAAGAAGAGAAAGAGTAGCGGATACAATATCTAAATCTTCTGGGGATTGTCGTATATGCGGTGATGTAGCGCGTGGTCATAATTTCAATATTATTTCGTGTATGTCTTGTAAATCTTTTTTTCGTCGACATGCACATAAGAAATTAGTAAGTTTAACCTATATTAATAAAGAAAATGTAGAATTTTTTCTCAACAAATTGAATAGCTTATATCACTTTGTCAATTTGAAAGCGACTGTCCTATAACAAAAGGAGCACGCAGTTACTGTTCACCTTGTCGTTTAAAGAAATGTTTCAAATTAGGAATGGATCCAAAACTAATTCAATATTTTCCTGATTCCAGCACTGCTTCGAAGAAAAACCAACGAGTACAAACGATAGCAGACAAACGGATTCAGTTACCAAGAGTAATAATATTTCTTGAACTTTCTTTGGGGGTCATATGTCTTTTTTTAATCTTTTTCTATAGTTATTACCACTTGGTCTTCTTCAAAATGATCGCTCAACATTAACAACTAATGAATGAACTCTTCTTTCGAATTGTCTTCATGGATTTGATGAGGAAAACCCTCACACGCGAATTCAATACTGTCTGAAGGAATTATCTACATTACCTTCAAAATTACGCTTGAAACCACCCGAACTCATGCATCTTCTTCGTGAGCTTTATGGCACTGTTGGGCCACTTATGGAACATTCACCAGATTTTCATTCTTTATCAGCTGGTGATCGTCGAATTTTTCTCAATCATAATCTGTACATCACATGCATTGTGAATGGATTCTTTTTGTGTCGTGAACTGAATATATTCGATAGTATCACTGTTTTCAATTCTTACTATCAGCTGTCCGGAGCTGAATATATGACAGAGCGCCGTCGAAATATTGCACGATATGATCCAAATTGAAGTCTTATTAAAGTTTTAATATTTATATTAGCTTTTTCAAGTAATTGATCAATTGTTAAATATGAGAATCAAGTAGACATTATTCTTATGTCAAGCTCAATCAATCTTGTTGGTATTCAGAATGTATATGTTACGGTGTTATGGAAATACTTGTTATATCTGTATGGATTTAAAGAAACAGTACTTCGATTTACTCAGCTTGTAAACAATATTCTAAATATAATTAATATGGTTATTCAATGCCTCAGAACGAAACTCGTAACCGTATGCGTGATACAATACTCACGAACACGCAACGTATATTGGTGATCAGTGACTGAATTTACATACATTTACTTAATTTCTCACATTGGTCACACATTCGTCTGATACTAATGCTTTTCGTCATTATAATTAAGGATACTTGTACAAAAGAAATATGTCCATAATTATCAGTGTCGTGTCTTCGTCAGTATCGTTTTATATTGTATAAAGTTAAACTAGCAATAAAGAATAAGTACACATTAAAGATTAAAACTAAACCAAGAGGAAATGTGCAATGACGTTCAATCAAGAATAACGGAGAAAAGAGTCTTTATTAGTAAAAATAAAACTTATAATAGTGAAATAACCATCGAAATATATTGAAAATTTTCAAAAGAAATATCATATCTCATGACAATAATTTCCAGTAAATGATAGAACTAAAATCGAAAATTCTGAATTGAATTCCACCTAATGTGTGTCAGTTCAGTTTATTACTACAAACGAATTTGAGTCAGTCTTGGTAGTTCTCATACAAAAAAAAAATATTGAACAAAACTGTGCTTGAACGACGACTTCAAAAAAAAACTAATTTTTGCTTTTAGACGTATTGCTTTATTCCAATACATCTAGAGACAGTTTTTTTTATTTATAAACCGTTTTTTCAACTTTCATCACCATCTAAAAATACTCCTCTAACGTTTTTGTGAGAAACTGTCTTTCTCTTCTCAATGAATGTTATCTGAAACAGCATTCGAATGCGTTTACTTTTTTTTATGTTTCAATGCTTCTAGATTTCCTTCTTTCACGAAGAAAATTATTTTTTTAATAATGTATTAGAATGCTGTCTTTGTAATGTGTTGTTTAAGAAGACATGAGTTACTTCACATATAAATAAATAGATATTCGGATTAATGTTTTGAGTAAAACTACCATTTCACGAAATGAAAAAATTGTCTGCTGACGTTTAGGCAGACACCTCGCAGTATGACATTAAATAAAAGCTCGAATATATGTACATGTAAATAGTATTATTTTAGCGAACAATACATGTGAGCATATAAAGTTTTTCATATTGGTAAGATACGATTTGTGAGGAATGCTAATAACAACCATGATCTTTCATGCTTGTTTTCCTTTTTTTTCTTTATATTTCTTTCTGTTTGCTGTTGCTTTACAATGATATTGACTAGGTCTCAAAAACACAGTGCGCATTAAAAGTGCACTGAGCAATGCCTCTGTTATTGCTACCCAGAAACACCAATGACATTTCTTGATTCATTTTTTAATTCTCATAGTGTATTAGAGGCTTTATTATAGACCTATGTGCATATTTCTATTTTAGTTTCATGTATCTTATGTATAATTGACAACCCTAGAATGCCATAATGAAATTGAGTCGAAAAGAAAATTAGAACATGCAGTATTTTGATTGGATAAGTGTTTTTACAGATATAATATTGTTTTCTACTTATTAATTAAAAAGTTCTCTATGGATTAAGCTCAGTCGTTTCTTTACAATATATATAATTATCTGCTAGATGGTTCTCAGAGAGATTAGTGATACTTAATCATGTTTCTGAGATATGATGAGTTTCAAACAAGAACTATTCAAATATATTAATTAAAAGAACAAGAAATAATTAAAACTTGGTCAAATAAAAGTGCTTTTTGTATGTCAATGTTCATTTCTTTAATAGAAATATCAAAAGAGATAATACAATGAAAAAATATGATGAATTAAAGCGAACAAATAATAAAATATACCTCAGTTTCTATTCGAGAATTATTTTCGAATTGCTGAATATCGTTGTGCAATGTGGAAAAACAAAACACTTGTTTAATAAGGTCGTGTATTTTATACAGATTCGTCAAGAAAACTATGCTAGATGACACTCAATTAGTACTAACTACTAGTTTACAAGATAGTTTTCAAAAAACTGATCAACATATACTTGACTATTGTGTTACAAAATTTTTTTTATGAGTATAGAAAAAGTAAAATTCGATCTGTTCATAAGCTCTTTCTCATGAGTCTATGTGAAACTCACATATTTATTGTGCAAATATTTCTTTCCTCTACTGTTAGTTTATTCATGAATATTTTAACAAAAACAACTCCTATATAGATGGAAGTGGGAGAAAATTCTCTATCAATAGATCGAAAAATTATTGTCAAACACATGCCAATCGAGCAGATCTAGAGGTAAACATTTGAAACCATTATTCGGCATCTTTTGAACAGTGCGAATATTTTTTTGAATGTCTCTATTTCTGCTGATATTATTTTACTTATTAGTTTATGATTAATACAAAAATATATGGGATGAAAGAAGAGAAAGTTTCATATCTAATAATAAGAAAATGTCATTTCGAGGACGTGTTTATTAATGAAACGTAATAATCGACATATTGCACCACTACTGTAGCGTCATATTCGATGATCTTCATTCAGCACTATTCTACATGCATCATATCATATTATAATTGAGATTTTCCTTTTTTATCAAAGAAACATTTACACGGACATTAATAACTGTATAATGGAATGACATATTTCAAAAATGTCTTTATTTACAAAAAAAGTAACATAATCATGTTTTATATAGGTATTAGTTTACTTTAAACATAGAAGAGGTATGATTTTCACACACAGCACTGCGTGAGGCTGAAGGTGCTCTATCTCAAATAAACTAGTGCAATATTTTATTGGATTCACTCATAAACCAATGAATATTATTGTTTTTTATTTTTTTTTTGTTCTAAGGTTTCATTTAATAAAGACATGCATGCGCAGAGAGAAATGCTGAATGACACTTACTTGAGAAAAAAAATAGCATAGGTTAAGTATCTCAACATTCTTTTCAAGCTTTCTTTCCTTAATGATGACAAGAAGAGAAAGAGTAGCGGATACAATATCTAAATCTCCTGAGGATTGTTGTATATGCGGTGATGTAGCGCGTGGTCACAATTACAATGTTATTTCGTGTATGTCTTGTAAATCGTTTTTTCGTCGACATGCACATAAGAAATTAGTAAGTTTAACCTATATTAATAAAGAAAATGTAGAATTTTTTCTCAACAAATTGAATAGCTTATATCACTTTGTCAATTTGAAAGTGACTGTCCTATAACAAAAAGAACACGCAGTTACTGTTCACCTTGTCGTTTAAAGAAATGTTTCGAATTCGGAATGGATCCAACATTAATTCGATATTTTCCTGATTCCGACCCTGTTTCCAAGAAAAACCAACGAGTAAAAACGAAAGAAGATAAACGGCTTCAGTTGCCTGTGGTACTATTATATTTTAAGTATTTTCTGATAATAATTTGTTTTTTAAATAGCCTTTACCACTTGGTCTTCTTCAAAATGATCGCTCAACATTAACAACTAATGAATGGACTCTTCTTTCAAATTGTCTTTATGCATTTGATGAGCAAAACTGTTACACACGTATTCAAAATTTTCTTAATGAATTATCTTCATTACCACCGAAGTTGCGATCGAAACCATCTGAAATTGTGAATCTAATGCGCGAGCTTTATAGCACTGTTGGACCGCTTATCGAACGTTCACCAGATTTTCATTCTTTACCGGTTGATGGTCGTCAAGTTCTTATTAAGCATAACTTGTACGTAACTGGCGTGACGAGTGGATTTTTTTTATGCCGTGAGCTAAATGTATTCGATAATATGACTGTTCTCAATGCTTACAATCAGCTATACGGATGTGAATATATGACAGAGTGTCGTCGAAATATTGCACGATATGATCCAAATGGAAGTCTTATTAAAATCTTCATATTTATATTAGCTTTTTCAAGTAGTTGCTCGATTATTAAATATGATAATCAAGTAGACGTTACAATTATGTACAGTTCAATCCATCTTGTTCCTGTTCAGAATGCATATGTAACGATGTTATGGAAATATTTGATATATCTATATGGATTTAAAGAAGCAGTGCTTCGATTTACTCGGCTTGTAAAGGACGCTGTAGATTTAATTACTATGTTAAATTCGATTTCTCAGAGCCAAATCCGTAGCCGTATGATTGATACAATCATAACAGACACAGAGCGTACCTTAGCTATCGACGACTGAATCACAGGCATTCATGCAGGTTTCCACATTGGTCAACGATACTTCTAATGTCCAACTATTCTTGTTGATATGAATAATGAGATTTATACGAAAAAAATATGTGAATGATTACCAATGCAGTGTGCTCGTCAATATTCTTATTTACTAAATAAACTTCGACTGAAAACAAATGACGACTATGTACTAAAAAAATAATGCAATCCAGAAGACATGAGGAATGATATTCGATCAAAAACAAGTAGATAAAAAAGTCTTCATCACAAAAAATAAGACATATAACAGCATACTCAACACTCAACAGCAAACGTGAAAAAATACTTTAAGTTTTTGAAATAATATAATATTTCATGATAGTATATCCAGTAAATAGTAGCCTTATAGTCAAAAATTTTGAACTGAATTCTCCGTGCTATGTGTCAGTTCAGTTTATTACTAAAACCGAATTCAGGTCGGTGTTTGTTATGGTACATATGTTAGATGTGCCATAAGAAAAAATGTTATATGTAGTACCTATATATATTCGTTCTCTTTCTTTTATTTCATACATATATGATTTATAGTATCCGTCTTTTCTATTTTTCTGTCAAGTGTTTTTTCCTAGTGTACTTTTGTTTTGTTCCTGTGGTTTCGTTGTCTCTCATCTAACAACTCTCATTCGTTCTCTTTCTCGTCTATTTTTATTCTTTTTTTTCTATTCTTGTAAAAGTCAAGAAAACGTTGTTCTTAACCTTCAACTAAAATTTATTGCGTAGTTAGCAATGCGTGACTACTTTATATATGTGCTGGTGTAATTCTATGAGAGAGAAATTATTTTTAATTGACTATGAGTGGCAGAAGTTACTATTATTAATTCAGCAAAAAATACCTGAGAAAAATATTTAAATAATATCTTAAAACAATCATATACACATCAACGTAAATAAAACGTAACAGTATTACTAGTTTCAATGAGAAAAAGTGTTGAACAAAATGTCATTTGAGCGACAACTTTGAGGAAAAAAATCGTATTTTCGTAATTAAAAGCAAAATTTTACTTCATTGGTCCTAATACATCATTTTTATCTATAAAGCGTTTTTTCAACTTAACAAGTCATCTAAAAACACCGTTGGGATGTACTTGTGAAAAAAAAGCGCATTCTTTCTCAAGGAGTGGCAACTGAAACATTTTTTGACTGTGTTTACTATCGCATGTTTCAATGAGTTTATGTTTCCTTCTTCTACGAAGAAAACTATTTTTGAATAGCGCATAAGAAAGTTATTTTTCTAGTGGATTTGTTTAAGAAGAAAATGAGTTATTTCACATATAAATAAAAAGAATACTCGAATTAGTATTTAGAGTAAAAAACTGTTTCACGAAGTAAGAATAGACTAACGGTAAAATAGATATCTCGCAGTAGAACACTCAGAATTATAGCGACCAGCTTGATGTATTTTTAAAATGTACTTTTTTATTGTAGGATAGCAGAATGTATTTGAATACTTCAAAAGAAAAAAATAATTGTGTAAAAGCAAGGATAAATACCAATGAATAGAACAAATTTACCTTCATTAAGAAAATCTGTTAAGATATTTGAAAAATCTATAAATAAGACGATATCAAAGTAACAACTATGTTAAGTTATTCTCATGTAACGAGTCATAAAGTGCTTTTATTCATTTTTAACCAAGGCTTTTAGTGATCATTACTGAGAGGATTATTTTTATGATATTTTCACGTCATTTGAAGATATTAGATTTTAGAAGACAAAAAATTAATGCATATTTGTTTACCATCTTCACAATAGTTTACTTAAATTTTTATTTAGTTTTTATTTTTTTATTATTGACTTCATTTAGAGTCCATCGAAAAATACTTTTAGTGTGTTACCAAATAAAAGCTCAAAAATATGTATAAATAATTAATCTATTCTCTCGGTGAACAATACATTTTTGCATATAAAAGTTTTCCTTTTCTGCTAATACTATTTGTGGGTAATACTGATATGAACCATAATCTTTCATTCCTATTGTTTTCCTGTTTTTTATATATCTATCTGTTTGCTATCACTTTACAACAAAATTAAGTTAGGATTCAAACACACTAATGGAATGAAAAATGAATAAGAAAATCATTGGTGTTGCTACGTGGATATACCTATCAGATTTCTTGATTCATTTGTAATACTCATAGTATGTGAGAAATCTTATTTTAGTACTATGTTCGCTTTTCTCGTTTTCTTTGATGGATCTTATCTATAATGCCATAATGAAATTGAATTCGTTTATCTGTATCAATTATTTTGTCATTTCTACACCATGCTATTGAACGTTTTTAGTAATTTGCGTGCTAAAAACTCTAAAGGTTTCAGAAAAGATACATCATAGTCTATGAAGTGAAAGTTAAAGTATAGGTAACACAGTCGAACGCTCTATTACAGTTGAACGAAAGGCTAACAAGGAAAGATTCCTGAGTGTGTATTTGAGATTTCAGCTGATGTTGCATAGTTTCCCTAAACCAAGTACTCTGATGTAAAGTACGAAAGAATTATCGGCTGAGGCTGATCCAATAAAAAGTTGTAGTCAAAACAGTTTTTCACTACTTATTGCATACATACAACTACATATTATTTCTAAAGTATCGTATTCGTTCCTGGAAATATTGTCTGATGGTAGACATAGCAAAGTCATATATGCAGTGAAATTCATTCCTACCAGTATATTATAGCAGAACATAATTCCATATGTGTATAAGAGATAGGTCCTTTCAGTGCGATAAACAAACGAATTAGTTTCAATGTTTCTGATTGTCAATGGAAAATGTTTGAAAAGAAGTAAACGATCACAATAACTGCAAGAAAGAAAAGAATAGACGAAATACCGATACAGAGTGATGTTATACCATAATATACTGATAGGAATGAATTTCACTGCATATAACGAGTGATAGAAGAGTTTTTGGACAAAATATTTGTTCACTTTTGACCAGCTAGAAAGTATTACGGACGAGTCAAAAGCTATGAGTTAGAACCAAAATTTTGTGCTCTTTTCGAATATGGATTCAGAAATTTTGTCCCAGTTATTGTTCGAGAAAAGTGAAATAATCTTTGACAAGTCCCAAAAAATTAGTTGGGACGGAGAATTTTTCCGCACACTTTTGTATTTTCACTATTACAATTCGAAACGAATAGTTGGGATCTTTATTTATACATCAGCTTGTAGATCAGAAGCTGCTCTACAAAATGCACTATTTGAGATTTTTTGTCTTTCGACAAAGCACCTCAATTTGTCTTTTTCCTAAATATTTATTTTTGGAAAAACCGACTTTTTGACCAAAACTGTTTCACGCGGAAATGAGGTCTTGACAAAATGATTGTGACTACAGTTGGGTAAAAGCTGCAGCTTAGTGCAATATCACACTTTGTAGAGAAGTGTTTGCTCTACAAAACGACTGACTCAAACAATTTTTAGCATGTTCGAAAAGAAACTTATGAGGTGAACAAAACCGTGTTGCTTCATCATTAAAAAAAGAGTAATAAATTTTCAGGCATTTCAAAAAGGTCCTCACTGCTCTTGACCAAAAAATAGATACAATATTTCTAAGCCCGCATTCAAAGAGAGCACAAAATTTTAGTCATCACCTATAATTTTTGGCTCGTCTGAAATGCTTTCAAGCAGACCAAATTGAACAAACATCTTTACCGTATACTTCGCCCGACAAGCTCCGTCCCAACTAATTTTTTGGGACTTGTCAAAGATTATTTCACTGTTCTTGAACAAAAACTGAGACAAAATTTCTGAATCCATATTTTAAAAGAGCACAAAATTCTGGTTCTAACTCATAGCTTTTGACTCGTCCGTAATACTTTCTAGCTGGTCAAAAGTGAACAAATATTTTGTCCAAAAACTTTTCTATCACCCGTTATGTATTTTCTATGTTTACCATGAGACAATATTTCTTGGAACGAATACAATACTTTAGAAATAATATATAGTTGTATATACTTCGATTTTTGCTGTACTGGTAACGAAATATATTTGCTGAAATCGTTAGAACTTCTGGCATAGACATAATTCAAAAACATGCAATAAAACGATGTAAATATGAGGAAGTAATTTAAATAGAAGGACACATAGAAAAAGACTTTTTTTAGGGGATGAAATGCATTGCTAACCGAATAAAATATATCGTAAGAAACACATTGTTCAGTAGTTCAGTTGCATTTTTAGTGAACAAAATCGCGTTCAAACGCAAAAATTCGAAAGTTTTTTTCATGTATGTCGACTAGCTAATCAGTAAGTTACAATGTACAACGTGATCACCTTGAGTTTTTTCTCAATAAGAGACTTTCCACAGTTTCGATTCACATTAATTTAAGATATATGTCTAATTCTATAAGATGAAAAACCATCGAAGAAAGTAAATAGCAGTACAATATTGTCCAAATTGCATTGAATACATTTTTATATTGATATTTCTTCTAGCGCCGAGGGAGAGGAAGAAGAATAAGTTGTTTAGAATGTTGTTTCATAGAAGCTTGTATATGGTTTGAAATCTTGTTTTTATGATAATGAAAAATCGAATGTATTTTATCTAGATGTAATACATTCTTGACATCTTTTCATACAAAATGATTTAGTCATCTTAAAGATCTGTTGACTATAATTGTGTACAAGCTGAGTGATTTGCTGATTCTTTTAATTATGGTGTTTTCGTCTAATTTTTACAAACAATCTTTCTTGCTCGAATAGAAGCTAGTCGTCTGCCATTTACTAAATGCCATAACGAAAAAACTTAATTTTTTGTTATATCAAAGCTTAGAACTTTTAGAACTCTTGAGACAGTTTGTTGCAAGTCGATGTATTCAATTATTCCAGCAGCTAAATCGAATAAAACTGAATAGTTTCTAATAAAAATCTCATCGAAATTTGATAGTTCTTGTGAAAGAAACTAAAAGAATCTTTGTTACTTACTGTTCTGCCTTAAAGTATTGCATTATCCTAATTGAAAGAAATAGCCTATC